GTGCTTCACTTTAAAAAACAGATTACTGAGGTACTACAAGTCATTCTACCTACTAGCTCAAAATTACCGATGATATATATATGATCGACTCAAATAAAAGCCCTGCATGAATCGACATGCATAACATCCATCTCCGTCTTACGATACAGGACGGATACCTATCTCTCCAATGGACTTATCACATTAGAAATTCAGGACTGGCTCTCCCCGAAATGGGTGAATGGGATTTTTGGATGTTATTTTAACCACGATTAACTAGGGATTTCATAACGCTTGGAGTTTTTATGAGGAGAATAACCGTTAGGTGGTTCGAAGTACCTTTCAATCGGCCTCCTTTGAAGATTGCCGTGATGTGTCTCAGCTTTCAGTTGTCTTGAATCGCATCTTGGCTGAGTAAAAACCAATCAAATTAGCCAAATTGAGGGCGCTGCCCTCATCACAGGAGGATTACCCGTCTTCTGGCGAGCAATTGATTTCTTGTTAAAATATTCAAGTCTTCGGTATTCGTTGCTTAGAAACACCTCCAAGATTCTAGTTGAGATGCGGTTGAGGCTATTACCGACATGGTTTGGAATGTATGAAAAGGCTGCTTTGCTAGATGTGCAAGATCATCATCCATGTTAGCGGTGGGATTAGTACCCAACAACCAGGAAAGTTTGGCTTTGGCTGTTCAGTAAAAGGTGACATGATGAAATACGCTTTTCTGATCGGAAACAAGTTTATTGATTTGATTCTGGTGTTCATCTTGTTTGAAAGCCTTCCCACAAAGGCTCCTAGCCTGATTAGAATGCTTGTATGAACTTTCGCAGCTGATTTAATTGAATTTCCTTCAGTAACATCCTTTTGGTTTCAGCTTTTGTAGGGCATGATTTTGCGTTGCTTGCAACCTTTAGGGACCGTTTGTGCGACATAACGATCTGTTATATTTAAGATCATGTTCATTAAGAAGCCTGGTGATCGCTCACGTCAAACTGAACTTCGCTGTTCTAATCCATGTGCTCTAGATTTCCCTTTAATGCCACCTTTTGAGCCCAAACGTTGTTGTACTGAGGATCGCACAGTTCCATCTAGGAAACTAAACCAAAGGTCGTCCTCACTGAATGGGATCTAAAAAGGCGCTGCCAATGTAACAATAAAGCTTATTGTTTGATACGTCAAAACATCAGACATTCAAATCTCAGTCTTCAACAGAAAGGATACGAGTTCACTCAACCTATAGTAATTGTTGCAATTTGCAGTACTTTGTAAATATTATCTCGCTCTGGACGTATCAACAGAGAGTGCTGATATTACGTGCTCTGGTAGAAAATTCCAGTAAACCACTACTCGGTGAGAAAAGGGAACGATGACTGCACCCTAGGGAACTCCACATTTTACAAACTCTTACGCCGATACGGCTTGATTTATCCGTACCCTATGTCTCCTTTAACTAAGAAAGTCATGTATCCAGTCCGTGATTTCTTAATGGATCACAAAATCCAGGAGAGAGACTTTATCAAAGGCTTTACTTAGACCTATGAAAATCACATCTGCCAGAATATGACTAACTTTTGCTGCAGCCTAATCTCTCGTAATGAGGAGATTTATCGATCATAATAGGCCTTTCCTAAGACCGTGTTGTTCTTTGGACAAGAGATTGATCTCTTTCATATAGTTAAAAACAGCCATCCAAATAAGCTATTCCATTAGTTTGACAACAACACTGGTTAGACTAACGATGCCATAGCAACTAAATAAGTCCCTGCATCCCGCCTTATACACCGGGCTGATGGCTTCGTCTTTCCAGTCTCTTTTCAGTCTGAACTGCCGCAAAATCGTATCAAACATTATCAATAGAAGCTCAGCAATTAAGTCCCCGTGGGCTTTCATAATCACAGAATGAATGACGTCAAGACCACTAGACGTATCCGGTTCGTGATGTTGAAGTACTCGTAATGCAACTCCTTTCTCAACGACTACAGGATCTGTCGGCAAGCCATCATCATCAAAATTAATTGTTGGTTGCTCGCCAATGTTGGTGGAAGACACTTTTCTAAAATATCTTGATAAAGCTTCTTCATTATCATTTCTTGTCCATATAAACGGATTTTTTCGTGTCGAATGTGGTAAGATTCCATCACTTTTCTTAGATAGCCTCTTAATATAAGAGAACAATCTTTTCGGACTATTTTCATAATCCCGAAATAAGTGTTTTTCACATAAATGTCTAGCCTTACCAACGCCTTGTAAGCATTCCTTGTCTTACAATAAATGGACCTATAATGTTTAGAATCTGTAGAGATAAACATACTCCAACGCTTTTTCTTACGTCTAAGAAGTTTTATGTCCTGTTTGGTTATCAGTGGTGAGAAGTTATTTGCTATACATAGTACTAATCACGATATAGACGGGAGCGTAGATAGGTCAGTCATACCTTAAAATATTGACCATGTTTCTCCAATTGATGAGCTAGTATGTACTGACCGATTTGTTATTGTATTTCATTCTTGGGTGGCCAATATTTTTCCTCCATACATTTGGGCGAGCTTTGACCTGATTGTATATTGTGTCAGAAGCCCTAAACATGAATGATAAAACAGCATGACCACCATGTGGTAATGGTGGGAAAATATTTAGATTAACGATATCCTCGGTCTCATGGGTGGTTACTAAGTATAACACAAATCTTTGGTTTGAGAAAAGACGTGTAGGTTTGAATGCATGTTGTATTAAGGTATTCCGAGTTACCGTTATCAGAAGCCTACTATCGAAAGGGTTCTCAGATCCTACAGTGTCCATCTCTGCCCAACTAATATCAGGTACATTGAAATCTCTTCATATCACTTATCGGTTATTTTTATTTCATAGCTGAATGTTCTCTTTAAAAAAGTCACCAGCTAGGCATGTAAAGCTACGATAGATGACACCTAGTGCAAAGTCACGACCATCGAAAGTGAATTCTCAGCTGGTTACTTCACAAATTACACCACGAGATTCACGAACAAATGAACGGGTGTCTATAGTATCAGTAATGCATGTATGGACCTCACCCCCACTATTTTATCCATTCCTATCACTTATTGGGGAATCGTTACCGACAATTCTGGAGCAACGTCAAGGACATAGACTAACCAAACCTAGGTCACAGCTACGATGAATGGCTTTAATTTGTCCAGTGGTACTTCCGGTCCATTGAATTTTCCTCTTAGACCACTTGAATTTGCACATAAGACACATAAAGAGAACGACCTACCCATACATGCCATACGGACTCCGTTTCCAAGACCTGACTAAACTGAAACCCACTAGGCGAAAATTTTTTCCACCATTTTTTGACGCCTTGTTTGTTCAGCTAACACCGTCTTCCTCCTTAATCTGTCTTACGGAGACATGTTAGTTCTTACTGGAATGTCGGTACTGTTGTGATTTCATTGTTCCTCGGACCTTAGGATTAACCTAAGCAGTCCCTACCTATTCTTGACAACTTTTTGATCTAAAATCTCGTACAGTTATCTGGTTAGGTTCTACTAATAAATGCCCCACCCTTTTCATAATCATGTACGTGTCTCGTTTTGGGATCAGGATCGTTTGACTCTAGTAAGCTATTATTTCGATGAGATCAAGCCCTTTTCAGCCACTGTAGGGTCAAGTTCAGTCTCACTTTTAGAATTTTGCGTTATATTATGCGACTTAGTATGAGGGCCTGTCAAAGGCTTCTCAAACAAATGGGCTATATTGTGACTTTTTCTCGTCTTCTGTGTTTCCACACTTGTCTCGAGACAGGCACATAGGAATACTTGGATCGTTTTTAGTCGGATCTTCAGATACTACACCAAAATCTTGACCACCAACACTCAGTGATATTTCACTCTTTGTTTCACAAGAAATTTTTCTTTCCTATGTTTCGCAGTCGGATGTTTGCCTCGTCTTGTAACGACGCGTACTATACTGACACGTTCTTCATAGTCATTGCTCATGTAACCTGTGCAGCCACCATCAAATTTCTCGCTGGCGAGCGCCTGAAGGCTCACCACCCCATGGATCAGTAGTGTCTTACTCGGACAGCAGGACCTCCAAAGCTAATGGGAGTTAGCTCTCGCGCATCCCCTATGCGGAGTGAAACTTAAACACTTCGTGGAACCCTCTAGAACCAAGAAAAAAGTTTGCTGTCCACATTTTGGAGTACAAATGTCTTCAGTAAACACATTTCAAGTGGAAAGATTTGACAAAATAGCAAGGTAATCACTATAGTGAAAAAAAGAGTGCCACAAAACGGATAAAAAGCAAATATCAACCCCTAACCTGAACAACTCAAGTTAAGGCGGACGAGGTATGCATTTGATGTAGTGAATACACAAAACTAAAAAACACTCAAATTGAACCAACTATCCTGTTTTAAAACGTGCGATAAATAGTTGTGACACTTATCAAAAAATGCAAATAACAATGAGTGGGATATTGCGAAATTCCATAGACTACTCCAAATCAAGCCCTTAGAATCTTCTTTTCTGAACTACATTGAAGTCACATGATGAACATTGGACTGCACGCGGTTTATGCAGAATTTTGCCGCGAGATGGAGAGTTTTTGTCCGGAATGCTTGCGTTCCGGCTTTTCAGTACCTTTATTGAAAGTTAAGTCATCTGCTGGTTCAATAAATGGAATCTGCTCCTCAAACAAGTGTTCATACCCATTTTCAGTGTACTCTGATCTTCAGTTATCACGTAAGGTAAAGTTATTGATTGACACTCGTTAGTTTGTAGAGGTGTAGATGACCGTGCATCTGAAGAATCTCAAACGGTCCGTGGTTTTCTTGATGAACTGTTTGGTATGGATGTCAAAAATGGAGACGATGGAAGTTCGTTCAAAGGTGTTGACTCCTCTCACCTGTATAGTGATTGTGTGCCTACAGGTTCCTCATCTGGTAGTTTCGATTTGATTCAACAAGATGTTTGCGACAGTTCTCCGGTTGACAATCTCTTCCAAAACAACTATATGCTTCCAAGATACTTAGCGATGACATGAAAAGAAGTAAGTGCGTATGTTTGTTTTCACCGAGTAAATGTTGACAAGCTTGTTAAGTTTTTCGTAGTCATTCTTTTAAAGATTCCTACGTATGTAAGCACCTTATTATCTCAGATAACAGAAGTCCTATGCGCCTTTGATGTTGTCTTAAATTTTTTACAATTTCTTACCCAGATCAGACAAATAAACAGATTTTCAAAACGTTCACACAAAGTAGTTTTAAGCTTTTTACTTATAAACGAACGACAATTTACTCGGAAACTTTTTCTTAACTAGTGAGTAATGACAAGACGAAGTTAGTGAAGTTGTATTGTTCAAATAGTTAACTAGAGATTTCAACCCACTTGATTACTAGTCTTTCGGTCATTTCGCAGTCCTTAGTTCATTACTTAGATTAATTTAACGGCCATTGTCGTATCGTCACGCGATAATAGAAAAGTTGGTGGGACCTTTGAGCGACGCTAAACTAACCTTGAGAGTGTCCGCTTACTTACTAGGGCTAAATAAGGGTTATAAAGTAGTTTGAAGAATAAGGATTATGATTTACTGTTGATGGTTAGGGTTAGGAATTAGATTTAGAGTTTTCATAACGAACTGACATCAGTTATAATGCCAAAACTCTATTTATCCAAATAAATGGGTGGATTTTACGCCAAAATCCAAGATCTGTTATCGTAAATCTGATTGGTTCGTTCGTAAATTATAGTCTCGCCGAAAGATTTCACCTTTCCAAGTGATATAATTTTCTATATGCTTTCATACGATTTTGCCTGAACACCGATTACCACGACGTACAATGCTGACTAGTGTTGGGGATGGTTTGAAGAAAATTAGGGGTGGCCAAATCAAAACGTGGCATCAGTCCTTGAATTCACTAACTTCTAGTCTAAGTCATGTTGGTAGGTGCAGACTACTTGGTTGGGGTCCGCGTGACTATCGTAACCAATGGTCGGAGACTGGGTGAAATGACTCAGAATCGATCACAATGCCGTCGGTATATACACTCTCTGTCTTCCCCTGAACTATGAGATTAAAATTGATTTATATCTTTCTTTCTTCCTGTACTATATCCTTATATACAATCTTTCTTTTATATATTACCACCATCGAATTAACTACTTCTATGAATTAGGTGTTCATCTTGTTGTGCTAATGTGGTGTGGCAAGTTGGACTGATGCATATATGTGCCTAGTCCTACATTGTAGCTGACTGAGTTCCTAATACATATTTCTCCCAGATCTTTACTTAACACTCATTACAGTTGTGGCCATTAATGCACTAATTAAAAGCTCTTTTCGATGTAAGGCGTCAACCAATAATGACTTGATACAGCTGCACTTACTAGGAAGTCCTTTTACCTAGAGATTTCTTGTAATTTATCCCCAGAATATATTAATAAATTATTATTGTTTGTTAAATATTTAGAATTCAAACCCACTGCCTTCCGTATTCATTTGTTTTCAAGGGATGCGCTTTGTTTTACCTGTGAAATGTGCATAACTTAATTACTTCATTGTAATCACTCATAACCTTTTTATTTTATATCTTCCAGTTATAAGTGAAGATTTATCCTATTCAAAACGTCCACAGTTCCAAACTACGAGCAATCCCCACATGTTTGAAAAGTTCAATCGGAGTAGTGACAGCGGAATTTCAATCTCTTCGCGGTCTTCTAAACCATCTACTCTTAGCTACAGCGAACATGTCGCCCAGCGGATGTCAAACCAAAGCGATGCTATTTCAACCTCTAAATCAGTTTCTATATCTTCTTTCCCACTTGACAAAACAAAAAATATGGCCCATTTTGATCGGTTGGTTAAACTTCAAGAAGAACGAATGCAGCTCCACTAATGTGTATATTCATCCCACCCTCAAAGATGCTTCGAACTTCTTTTATTTAAACCTACAAATCAGTTTGTCGATACAAACCTTTATGTACAGGCTGTTTGGCTTTTTTTTCCAAAGTCATCCAAATAAATTATGCCTTTCTTCGAGACTTCTCAGTATGCCTGAATTTCTCACGTACTGTACTTATGGATCTTATTAGTGTTAAAAACCCTACATTTTTCTTTCAACAAGCCGTTATTATTATCAGTACTTTGACATAGTCATCTACCTTAGTCATTTGATGACTCATCAGCTGATGAGCGAAGTGTAAGAATAATATTTCAGAGGTCCATTTCCACAGCACTACTAAACGACCTATATACGATATAATCGTTTTCCTTCAATACACATCATTGTACTATGTTTAAGACAGTATATCTGAATAATGCTGTTCTATGGATCATCTTTATGTTGACGGTTAGCGTTTTTGTATTTTTAAATCATCGTTAAGTAGACCAAAACCTGACTGGTAGTATTTACGAACAATCGAAAAGTAATTTACGTGAGCAATGCAACTAGCATAAAGAATGATTAGTGTTCCAATGGTATGAACTGAATGACGGATCATCTAATTTTATCCTTCTAAATGCCTAGAGCTATGTTTCTTAAGAACATTTCCCATCAGGATAGTGAGACAGTGTCAAAAGCTGCTTTTCTTGGTAATGTAGGCTTAGTGTTGTTGTGTATACCGTTCTATTATTTACAGGGAAGACTACATTCATTAGCAACGGGGAGTAGATGGATATCAAGATTGCTTCCTGGAATTTCCAACTAAGCAACTTTGTTCTTCCCAGTTATATTGGGTGCACTCTGAAAGAACTGGTCATCATAAACGTCCACAATCGTGCTCGTTTTTGATAGAATTATTAGATAAGAATATAATGAGGCTGCTATTTTGAGAACTAGAAATATAAACTTGTTGCACAAGTACTCTTTATTAGTGCTTTTTCAGTTTTCATGGTACTAATGATATTGGAATTAGCCTTAACAATATATATATGGTTTAGCTTTCAACCACTGAATTTGGGTCTCGATTGGCCTACCTATCACCAGTCATGATACAGCAAGTATGACTACTAGCTTATACTACTGCAGGCGTCCAAATTCCGGGTTCCAATCCCACTCTACCTTTTTCAGTTTGACCGGATGAGTAATATCACTAGCTCTCACATTTAGTGTGGTTTACATCCAGGTACTTACTGAATGTGTTAATTAAACTATAAGTTATTTGTAGAGAACTCTGAAGGCAGTCTCCAACATGTTAGAGTGGTGATAGTAACAAAAATAATTCTGAAAAATAACTTTCCAAGTGTCTTTAGGTTTCATTTTTGGTGTTACAGTATCCCGAGTAATTACTATAGACTGGTATTTCTACATTAAAATCGATATTGTACAGTAAGGACATCTGTAATCAAATATCACTATTTGTATGTTTTCGTAAGTAAAAAACATGAAACCTTGCAAGGTAGTACATCGGGGCCAAGTAAGTCTTCTAATTGATTTCCTAAAGTTGAGACATTAATCCCTTACATTATCACTTGGTAGGTATACCTCTAAATCTCTATTATCTAGTAGTATTTTTTTTTAAGGTATGAACCACATGATCTAAATCAAAACCAGTAGTGTCTGGTCCCTGTTTGTTTGTATTATTTGTGACAACGATATCAGTTCTTTCGTAACTAAGAGTATTTTTTTTATAAAGTAGTAGTTCAGTACTCACTGAAATGCAATCTATCGCGCAACGCATACATCGGTGTTGGAGAAAATATGAGATCTTGAAAGCTGGCGTGTACATAACAATTGGTGCAACGTTTACCCATTTTATTCTAAAACCGGAAGTTCCAAAAATTTCATTCTCACAGCCTGTAAATGCAGCTGAAATAATTTACCCTTCTCTTGTCGGCGCCCCAAACCTCCCAATAAACAATGAAGCTTTTCATACTTTGGGAATGCCATCATCAAGTCATCTTCGTGTTTTTGACGGCTATATATGTGTTTATGATCGTCGCAACAGAATTCCATATTGGGTAATGGAGCATTTAAACCCTGCTAAACTAGATCAAGTTGATATTGATAAGGCTGGAGTAGATCGGTATGTTTTTATTTCATTAACACCTGGAATGACATTTTAGACCAATATTATCTTATTTAGTATATTTATTGGGACCTTTATCAGATTGCTTTGAGCCAACTTGTCTACCTAGATGTTAAGGAGCATAACACAATTTAGTTTAACGAACTTTTTTTATCAACTCTTAACTAACTTCACATACTTTACTTGAAGACGTATGGTGTTGTAGTAAATAGCTTAAACCACAACACAATATAAAAAGGTATTTAAAGACGAATCGCAAGAGTTTCTGATATATATTGTGGTTGATAGACATCCCAAAGTCAGAATTACCAGCTTAAAAAGTTGATTGAGATGCAAATTGAGCTGATTAGAAGAGTAGTAGATAAAGTTTAAGTAATCGCTAAAGGAAACAGACCAGAGTATTGAATTAAGCAATAATCTAAAGTCAATTAAAATAGAAAATAAATCCTAGTTAACAGTCAGATGTTACTGGGATTTAGACTAAATTCGTAGGATTACAATATGGAAATCACTAACGACCACCTATTGGATTGTTCAAGATTTAAATTTTACTCATTCATTCTCAGCATCGTGTCGATCAAATATTTAAAGATTGTATTTTGTAAAGACGAAATCAGCTATTTAAAGGGCTCGTATAGCATATTCACAAAAGTCAATATTTGGACGAAAATTTTCTTCAACAACCACATCTTAAGGCTCTCTAGTTATAAATTTGTATTACAATAGCCTGTAAATTAGCACGTGGTGATATTACTATTACTTAGAATTAGAACAGACTGATCCCCTCAACTAGTAGATAAAGTTACATTTCCTGTTAATGAATTTCATGAGAAGGGTCATATTATTAACTGTAAGTAGACCATGAACTATTCACATAATCAGAGGTTTATTGAACAAGATGGCTAAAGAAAGCACCAAGATAAATGAAATTGAATAATCTGAAAACAACCATTCAACAGGATGATCATTAGAATGAACTGATTTAACACTTTTGGAACCGGTAACAAACTTACTCTTACATAAAGTAGGTACTCATGATGTCCAGAACAATCAAAGCTTCGTAATTATACTGTTCAGCTCACAAAAATTTAACCCCACTAAAAGCTATGAGGTTCGCGAACTTTGAACTTCTGTCATTTTATTAATCTGGCATACTTGTGAGCTTTCGACACTCAAGGTCGGATACTATTGAATATCATTTTCGTCACTTGGCAAAACCTTAATTGCTTATACTTGTTATTGTGATCCATATTACGGTAAAATAATTGAATCAATAAATTGCTTGAATGTGGCTGAACTGATGTCTACCTTACCAAACCGACCCTTGAACACTAACAGAATAGTTATTAGAAGTAAGAATCACTGACCAATAGATTATGTTTATGAGTCAAGACTGCTGTTTATACACCAAACATAGTAAACCAAGATAGTATGGCTTTTCGCTTAACAGATGTTTAATCGAGGATAAAAATGTGTATTACAACGCGACGAATAACTATTAACTTTCCCGTCATATCATGTCTTCACGAACTCTTTCCAAAAGATCCTTTAATAGTATTATATTTCATAAAGAGGCATTTTCGGGTAAATTTTTTCAAAATACGAAAGGGCAATATGTCTTGAAATACGTTTTAGGGATCTTGAATAATCAGTAATTTAAACTGTCGCATTTTGTATTAAATAATAGCAAAATAGGTTAATACATACTTGATGTAGGAAGGACTATGCAACTTTTTACGAATACAACGTTTCCAAGAGATACAGAAGTTCATCAGTTTGGATATCCGATAGTACTCACTTTCTCGGAAGCCAGTAGATCAAAACAAGCTGACTAGAATTGTCTATATACTTGCTAAAATTCCCAAGTGTATACAAGTTCACTTGACATAACTATGGGAGAAAGTTATTGGGAGTTCAAATTACATAGTGCTTAATGTGAGCTTGATCTCATACTTTAAAACTTTCGAAATGCTATTTTCAATGAAGCGTAAATCCAGTTCAAGTTTGAGAATTTCTCGTATTTTCGAGTTTGAGTAAAGAGATATCAAATGTCAGTTTAAGTCATTTTTAGCGTTTGAACATTATGTAAGTTTTTATCTACCAGCGTGAACAAAAGTAAAAAGTCTAACTGTTTTTGTCAAATTAGTACCTAACATGCCTCATCGGGAAACAAGGAAACTACTTCAAAGCGAAACTCCTGACTAGACCAAAGTTAGCTCAATATATTTGGCGTCCATTAAAGACGATTATAAATGTTACAAAACTATTCAAGAAAGAAGAACACCTAACTATTTTCCTAGGTGATAACCTCCGTAAGAGGATAATAAAGCTTACATTAAGAGAACTAACTCTGTTTTTTAAACTCTTACATTTGTTTGAAAAATTAACAGTAAGGATTTCGATTTTTATGAAGATCTTGGTGAAATTGAAATGTTCCGTTCTACTAACAAAGATTATTTGAACTCTGGGTATGATCGTGGTCATCTGGCCGCTGCAGGAAATCATCGCCTCAGCCATTCAGCTATGGGACAAACTTTTATATTGAGCAACATTGCACCTCAAGTAGGTATCGATATTGGAGCTTAGTTTCTTTTTCCGAGAATTATAAAAAATATTAATCTATTAGCCATCTACACATTACAGAAAGAGTCTATGTCGCAAGCTAAACTTACGTGCTCCATGGAAAGTTCCCAAAAGCTTGTAGAGGTCGGCACCATGTCAAGCTCATATAGGTCATCCTAGCTTCTGGACAGATCAATTTATTCATTTTTGTCGAACTACATTCCGACCTTGTCAATTATTCGCTTGTTACCCTGACATTTTATACGATCGTATGTGTGTTAATTGCTCACCCTACTCATTACATGTCTGTAACTTATTTTTGTCTAAATATAAATATTGAGTCACGAGTTGGCCCACCTGTCTTCTGCGCTGCCCTCCACTTTGTTTCGCTCCACTTCCTTCACTTCATTTCTCTAATTGTCTGTCTGGACCAATGAGTGTACGAAATATATGTATTTGAGATTCATTCTCGTACTTGACGTATTCCGTTATTCTCTAACGCTAATTAGGTCGATAAAAATATACGACGTTTAGCGGCATGTATATTTTCATAGCATTCATCATAAGATCTAACTGGAGTCAGACAAAGGGCCACCAAAAGCTGTTTTTCAAAAGCATAAATGAGAAATATACAAGACTTAAAAGTGAATAAGTAATTCTCTCAAAAATACAAGTAATCACGAAACGGTAATCATTTATCATCTTTAGGTAATTGTCAATCATTGATTTATTAATTTTGTCGTTTACATACTTATTGAGAGGATTAATGATAAACGATCGTCTTCTGATACTCTTGGTATCGTTGAGTTTATTTTATGTTTCCAGTAGTATACGACCAAGCTTTCTAGTAGATGATGTTTGTTTACGTGTGTATTGTTTCACCTTTAATCTAGGTTGGGTATGGTTTCAATCGGCATGGTTGGAATAGCCTAGAGAAGTATATACGTGCGGTTGCAAGAAAGTCACACAATATGGTTGTTATTACAGGACCATTATTTCTACCCCAGTAAGTAATCTAATTACATTTTGATGTCTGACTACTCAATTTGCTTTTGGTAATAAGAATAATAGATTGTTCGTGTATATATATTGATCTTAATTAAAGCTGGAATGTGTCTAGGTGTATCAAGTAATTTAATTAACCCTGACAAAACTCATCGATTTTATTCCATCTCAGATTGTAGAATATGAATTATTTTTTGTGCTGACATCAACCGATCTTGAGATTGCTGAATACAAAAGAACAAGCTGTATAACTAACCATTTCGATTGAATCAATTCATAATTCAAGTCACCGAATAGTAGTTGTTTACGTTTACGAATCTAAGGTTGCTTTGGCTAAATAATGTAAAAGTTCACAGATATTGACTTTTTATTGAAATTTAATGTCTGTAACTAAGCACAGGTTCATGTATTCGACATTGAGCCACACCTTTCATGTGGTAAGAAAAAATAATGCACCCTGACTGCTCAAACTGAAGTAGTTTCTGAAGGTGAGTCTAGTCATTCCATCAGTTAAATTAACTTTGAGTGCTATTAAAATGATAAAACTATACTATACTGGCAACTTTGAACAACTCCGAAAATAACTTAGTTATTGACCAATCAGAGTGCAGTTGATATAATTGTGTACTTTATTACAAAAAAAAAAGAAATACATGCCGATTATCTGATCAGTATGCCTACTAAGGCTCACAATAAGTTCATGAGTCCTTATCTCGAACATTAATGGTTTGTCAATATAGCAATTTTATTATACCCATCAATTCATCATTTCACATGTGCCATACTAAACATAATTTTCTATTTTTTATGTGCAATGTATATCTCTAAACGTTTTGTTAATTAAAACTATTTTTCAATATTATTTCAGAAGTGTAAATGGCAAGAAAATTGTGACTTATGAAGTAATTGGTAACAATAATATTGCAGTTCCAACTCATTTCTTCAAAGTGGCAGCTATTCAAAATAAACCAAATGGAGAATGGCATCAAGTAGCTTGGGTAATGCCCAACATTCGTTTACCTGAACAAATTAAAGTGGATGGTTTTAGAGTTCCTGTTGAAAGTGTTGAAAGTGCCTCAGGCTGGAAATTTTTCCCTAAACTTAAGTCTTAGCAAAACTATTGAAAGTTTGTACTTATATACTTCATATTTATACCTTTCTTAGTTGGTATTTATAATTTTCCTTTTCCTTAAGATATTTTATATGGAATTATATTTTCTTACTCAAATATCTTTTTATTTTTTTTTAATTGAAATAATCTGGGACATGAAGTTATTTTATTACTCAGGATTAATAATTGAGGTTTGTGACTAGTCAAATCGACAGTAAGAAAGCCATACAATATGGCTATACTGAGAAACATTCATATATTCTATTCATTGAACAGAGATTTCCTTATACTCTTGTAAGCCAGAGTTGGTTAAGAATCCAAATATTGTCCAAAAGATTTATAGGAAAGATTAAATTTTAATGGTCGCTCTTTCGTATACATATGTTGACAATACTCTTAAAAGCAAGGCAATAAATTGACGTATTAAGAAGTAACAAACCTATGAAGGAAAATATCTTCGACCTCAGTAGTAGAAATCAAGAATTCTCTTGCGTGAAATTCCGTAGTAATTGCAATGGTTCAATTTTAAAAATGGTAAGTAACAAATAGACTATATAAACTTTTTAAAGAGATCTAGCTACCAAAAAAAGAAAGTATGTGAGTCTTATTCAAAGAAGAGATAACCCTATTCAAATTACCATAAGCAATAATACAAAGAAATGAAACAAATATTTGGTACATACAAACAAGTTTAGTAGTGTTAGTCTATACTACTTAGATTTGTGTTAATTTAGAAAGGATTGTCTGTCGTCTGGTAAAAAGATGTACATACATATATTTATGTTCGTTTTTTGTTACTTTTGTGGCGTTATTTTTTGTTAGAAAACACCTTAAATGTTAAAACTTTGTATTTTGTAAGAAGCTGACAATTCACTGATATATAGACTTTCTGTCGACCATATTTGACATGATTAAGTAAATATGTAGAGTATTATAAACTTATTATGTGCAATTTGATCATAACTTCCATTTGCAGGACGAATTAGAGCCCCTGGATTAATTTAACAAACTGTCTTTATGCTACTTACAAGTAGCGTAAATAGATTGGTTTAGTAATCAGTAAGACAATTTCAGGTCATTGATATGTTTCTTCTTCAATTGCGTAAATGCAAGTTTATATAACATTGGTAATAAGCTCCTTAAAATGCCTCTCCTAACAAACATTTCATTTGAAAATTTAATGTATATAGAAATGGTGCTGATTTATCTAACATAGATGAAAAAGATTAGGTCTTCATCAAATATGTGCAGTTTCTTTATCTACTCTAATGTCAGTGTATTTAACACTCATTTAAAGGGTATTCTATCTTACAAAGATATAAACAGGTAATAAAATTCTAAGAACATTATATCGCCAAAGGAATTTATTTATAACTAATTATAATAACCGAATCATAATATTTACCGATAAAGTGAGACCTCAAAATGGAAAGTTTAAGTTTTTCAACCATTATTGTTAAAGCTTATTTCCAAATGTATCCTACCTGATATGACGCAATATTTAGGTATCCACTTTGATTCTGTTAAAGTATTATCAAACTAATTAATGTTCATGACCTACAAAACATATAGCGAAATGTGGTTTAAGTTTGTTTTTTCTAATGAGGTCTCTGTCAGTTGGATCAAAAGAATGTAATAAGATACTAGTTTTAGATGGACATACTATACAAATATAGAACTCTGAATTATGTAATTAAAATCGATTGAATGAAACATTCACTTACACATCATACTTAGATATAACTGATTCTTGCAAAAATACCCTTAGTTTCTAGATAAAACAATAGAAATATGAAATATAAGAAGAAAACTTTTAAAAGTATTTCATTTCAAAGATTTCTGAAGTTCATGAGAATGTAGACTATTATTAGTTTTCAGTTAACAAATGCTATCTCAATCCAATTAGTTCTACTTTGTATTTCATCAAAATGAAATTATGCATCTCTTAAATTTTTATGACTTTAAAATGTTTTTAACATTTATAATTTAACTAAATCATATCATTTATTGACGAATGTTTAAAAGTCAATGTTCGATAGAAAACAATAAAATGTTCAAAATTTTGATTTCATGATAAATACTTCTTCGTCGGTAAAGCTTATCCATAATCTTATAGAAGCTAATACTTACTTATGCCTGTTACTCCTCGTTGAGGAGTATAGATCGCTCACCAGCACTCTTCATCCAACCCTGTCCTGTGCAATCCTTTCCAGCTCCTTCCAGTTGTTATTCATCATTTTCATATCTGCTTCTATAATCCGACGCAATGTGTTCTTTGGCCTTCCTCTTTTTCGCTTCCCTTCAGGATTCCAAGTTAGGGCTTGCCTCGTGATGCAGTTTGACGATTTGCGTAGTGTATGTCCTATCCATTTCCATCGTCTTTTTCTAATTTCCTATTCAGCTGGAAGCTAGTTTGTTCTCTCCCACAGAGGCTATTGCTGATGGTATCCGGCCAATGGATGTTGAGTATCTTGCGTAGACAACCATTTATAAATACTTGCACCTTCTTGATGATGGTGGTTGTTGTTCTCCAAGTTTCAGTTCCGTACAGTGGAACTGTCTTAACGTTCGTATTGAAGATTCTGACTTTGATATTGGTTGAAAGTTGTTTTGAGTTCCATATGTTCTTCAATTGTAGGAATGCGACCCTTGCTTTGCCAATTTTCGCCTTTACGTCTGCATCTGAACCTCGTTGTTCATCGATGATATTACTAACCAATATTATAATCTTCACTCTGCTTACTGTTAAATTTAAGGTATTTAAAAATGTTAAGGTGAGGGTGCCTATTTTCCATAACAATAATAGGAAAGTGTTATATAACCACCAAAGAATAGACTATTCTTTCATTATTATTATACTTAATCTGAAAGGAGGAAGAGCGGCTAGTTCAAATGGATTGGCTCCAGAGGTCTTTAAAGACGGTGGTCCAATTTTAGCGATTAGGTTGACTAATATTTTAGCTAAGATCTGGGAGTTTGACGTAATCCCGTCAGACTGGTCGCAATCACTGATTATCCCAATATATAAGAAGGGGTCAAAATCATCAATGTGACAACCATAGAGGGATTAATTTGACTAGCATAGCATCTAAAATTAAATTAAAAGCGGCATTTGATTCTGTAGACATCAAGATTCTGTGGCAGTGTCGTCATTGAAAGGCGTACATCAGAAGTACATAAACCTTGTATAGGCTCTTTACTCGAACACTACTAATCGAGTCAGAGCTTATGGTGAACTTTCATCTGGTTTGGCAACCTCAAGTGGTGTCCGTCAAGGCTGTCCACTTTCTCCATTTTTGTTTAACTTCATCATAGACCTACTGCTGATAATAGCGCTCTCATCGACTGAATTTCTGGGGATTGATCTCCTACCAGGAGGTCCACTTATCGACTTAGAAAACGCAGATGACATAGTCCTGTTTGGTGAGAATGCTAATAAAATTCAGAATCTATTGGTAGCACTAAGTAACAATGCCAGAATGTTTGAAATGTGCTTCTCTCCCTTTAAATGCAAGTTGTTGCTTCAGGACTGGTCTGCATCAACACCTGAAATAAGGATAGGGAATGAAGTAGTCAAACGCGTTATCTCGGAAGTCTAATCAGCCCTAATGGGTTGGTGTCTGATGAAATCTCAGCACGGATTCAGAAAGCTCGTTTGGCTTTTGCTAGCTTGTGTCACCTATGGCGAACGCAAGATATCTGCCTATCAATTAACGGACGTGTTCTGTTCTACTTTACGGCTGCGTAAAGGCGGCCGTTAAGAGTAAAAGATATCCGTGAGCTACTATTAATTGATCACAGATGCCTTAGAAATATTGCTCGCATCTGCTGGGATCACCGAGTAAGTATTAGTGAGGTTCGACGCAGGGTATTAGGGAATGATGGTAAGTCAGTTGGCGAGGTAGTGAATCTTCATCAACTGAGATGATTAGGTCATGTGTTACATATGCCTGAACACCGATTACCACCAGGTGCAATGCAGACTAGTGTTGTAGACGGTTGGAAGAAAGTTGGGAGAAACCAAACCAAAACGTGACATCAGTCCTTGAATTCACTAACTTCTAGTCTAAGTCATGTTAGTAGGTGAAGACTACTTGGTTGGGGTCCGCGTGACTATCGTAACCAATGGTTGGAGACTGGGTGAAATGACTCAGAATCGATCACAATGCCGCTTGTATATGCACTCTCTGTCTTCCCCTGAACTATGAGATTAAAATTGATTTATATCTTTAATTCTACGAACTAATTCTTTCTTCCTGTACTATATCCTTATATATAATCTTTCTTTTATATATTACCACCATCGAATTAACTACTTCTATGAATTAGGTGTTCATCTTGTTGTGCTAATGTGGTGTGGCAAGTTGGACTGATGCATATATGTGCCTAGTCCTACATTGTAGCTGACTGACTGATTATTATTAAAGAACATTTTAGGAACTCATTTCTTCAACTTAATATATTCTCTTAAATTAAGTAATTTTAATATTAACTCATTATACAAATTCTTGATAAATTAATCAAGTTTACAATAAAACGTCAACTTGAAATTTAGAAATACCACATTTTGACTTAATATTCAGTAATAAATTTTCAATCAAGAGTATTGGAATTTCAGACGTGAAAAAAAAATCACACATTTTGCAACTGGCATATTTCGAAAAAAATCTCTATGATTTCCTCCAGATTAATGTTGTTATGTGTTCGGTTCATGAAAACATTTTTTCCCATTAAAATATCCCATCATGGATTAAAGTGATTTAGAAAACTATTAAAACACAAAAGAGAAATATAAATTGCTACTTCGTTGTAGTACCAAAGTCTTCAGTAGTTTATTTCGTGAACTGTAAATGGAACCGAGTGTAGAATTTTCACATCCTGTAATGTATATATTACTGGTGTTGATTGAACTAATCCCATCTTACCTTGTATATTAACACTAAAATAGTTTACCTATTATAACCTTTAAGATTTTTTTATTTTGATATATGTAACATGTTA